GAGAGAGAGAGAGAGACAGAGAGAGAGAGAGAGAGAGAGAGAGAGAGAGAGAGAGAGAGAGAGAGACAGAGACAGAGAGAGACAGAGAGAGACAGAGAGAGACAGAGAGAGACAAAGACAGATAGACAGAGACACAGAGAGAGACAGACAGACAGAGATAAAGAGAGAGAGAGAGAAGCCAGGGTCATCTTGTCCCCTACCTCCCCCATCAATGACTGGGACATTTCCCACAGGCCTCACTTGTTAAAGGATCCACTACTTCCCAAAGCACTTGGGTGAGGACTAAGACTTTAACACATGGGCCTCAGGACAGTTTCCTTCTAAACTATGGCCACTGTTGTGGGCCAGGCACTGGTCTATGGGCTGAGGCATAAAGATGACTAAAGTTATTGCTCCCTCTCTAGAGGAACTCAGTCTGGTAGGAGGAGGGAGGCGTGTGTGTCAATGAATAATGGAGAAGAAAGAGAGTCTGTCTCCCAGGTGTAGTAACCTGAGAGGGGTGGGAGACAGGACCGTGCATAGTTGTCCCCTCCTGAGTGTGTCCTCCAGCAGTGTCACCTGACCATCTCCACAGGACACCAGGCTTGTTCATACTGGCACTGCTCCCTCCTCTTATCTGTTTGGCAACCCCTGCTTTAGTGTTCAAATTAGAGACATATATAGTCCTTATGCGCTCTGAGTCTCAGTCCCCATTTCATCTGGTCCTGATTGGAGCTCCAAAAGGCAATTCAACTGTGCTCAATACCCATATCTTCCCAGTGATACACGAGCAAGGAATCTCTCAGATCCCAGCACAATGATTGGCACAGGACAGACCTATCACTTAAGCTGATAATTTAGAAGGGATAATTAGGCTGAGTCCTGAAGATAAATAGGACCAACTGAAAAAATAGAGGAGGGAGGGCTGTAGACATAGACCTATTTTAGTAGCCTGGTTTCATTGATACTTATCATCACAATAATACAAAAATACCTCTGTCTCCAATATTGGAGATGAATATTGCAAACTGGGCATTTCAGACGCAGGCATTGCAGATGCAGGCATTGTAGATAAAGGCAGTTGTATATACAAGTACAACAGGAACTTCAGAAACATGGTTTTCGTTGTTGTTGGCTTTTTCTTTTTTGGTTTCAGTTTTTTGAGACAGAGTTTTTTTTGTGTATCCTTGGCAGTACTGAAACTAGCTCTGTAGACCAGGTTGCCCTTAAACTCACAGAGATTGCTTGTCTCTGCCTCTGAAGTGCTGGGGTTAAAGGCATGATCACCAACACCTGATTCGTGAGTAGTTTTTCATGGAAACAAAAAAATAAAACTGAAAGTGCTACTTGGATGTGTGTTTGAAGCCAGTAGCCTGGCTGTGGATGTGGGCTCCTACCTCCTTCCATAGTGGGCATCAAGGGTCTTGAGAAAATAAGGAGAGGGGTGTCATTGTGAGGAGTGCATTCAAGAGGGTTAGCCATGGCAAAAGACAGCTCAGTAGCAGAAAATACAATTAGCTAGTTCCCCCATCTGGGTTTTTAGCAAAGACATTTCTTTCATACAATATAGAGATGTCATCAAATTTTTCTCAGTTGCCGGGCGGTGGTGGCGCACGCCTTTAATCCCAGCACTCGGGAGGCAGAGGCAGGCGGATCTCTGTGAGTTTGAGGCCAGCCTGGTCTACAAGAGCTAGTGCCAGGACAGGCTCCAAAGCCACAGAGAAACCCTGTCTCGAAAAACCAAAAAAATTTTTTTTTTCTCATTTTGTTTTTGTATTGTAGATACCAAAAAATTTATTAGCGATTGTATCGGTCACCATTGGAACCAACAGCTGCAACTTGCCCCGAGACTTCTGGAAACAACAAAAGTAGTTAGGGTGGAAAACCTGCCTCCTGGGGTAGATGACTACCAGCTACAGCTCTACTTCGAAAACCCTTTCAACGGGGGCGGAAGAGTCACCCAGGTCGAGTGTTTCCCAGAAGAGAGCTCGGCGCTGGTTGAGTTTTCAGACAGCAAAGGTAATGTGTCTTGGCCTGCCCCCCCCCCAGGAAGACCTGGATGGCTGGCCATTTCAGTCATTCCTTAATCTGTCAGAAATGGCACCAATCTCTCATTCATCTGGATTTGGTGCAGAACGAGGGCAGCAAGGCAGGCTCTGGAGAAGCAGCACAAGCTCATGAGAGACAAGGGAGAGTCTCTGACGAGTCCGGCCTGTGACTGAAGGTCGCCAATCTAGGAATGTTGACAGGTCATACTCACTGCCATAGATCTGTGTTTTATGTCCCTGCATTGATTCTCTAATCAACAGGTTTAGGGAGAGATGGACTCAGAAGCGGGTAGAGTTCTAGAAAGCGTTCCTGTTCCCCCTGTGCTGTCCCTGTGCTGAGACGGGATAATGGAGATTTCTCATAACCTGGGGAGGAGATGGAAGTCCTGTTGTTGATGACATCATCAGTGGTTCTTGAGTCAGACAGACTTGAGTTACAATCCTGACTGGTGGTCACAGGCATGGTGACCTTCGTGAGCCCTCAAACCTTCTGTTTTCTCATCTGTAGAGGGAGTGTTGGAGTTACCTCAGAGGATGCTGTAGGAGAAAAGGAAACAGTCCCTCAGCAGTGCTTGGCCTAAGGGGGTGCTGAGTCTGAGCTGGAGGTCACTCAGGCTGTCCACCCCATCTGGAGCCCTGTGGGAGGTTGGGCTTCTGAAGGTCACATTCCTTCCCTCAGGCCTGATAGCTGCCCTAGGACTGAGTCCTTCACCAGGGTATTATGTTTTAGCATCTTTTCTCCCATGGGTGCTATTTAAATCCAAGTTGTGGGATTGATTCTAATTTCCATGCTGATATTACTTACGCATGCCAACAGCTAAAACAAAGTGAGGTGAGTCCTGGAGAAAGAGAGAGAGAAAATGAGCATTGACCAGGGGTGGGTTGTGGTGACTTTCCTGGTACATGTGGTGACCAGGAGATATAATGGGGAAGGCCTTACTAAATTGTGACCTCTGGGGCTGGACTCTCCAATGACTGTGAGGATGATTTTGATTTGGTATAGGGGCAAGACCATGGGGTCTGGGTTGGCTTAAACTGGCAATTAACTCAGATACCTCCCTGGGTTTATAGAACCCTGACTTTCCCCAGCCTTGGCTTTCTCACTTCCATCTATGGGTGTAATAGAATCTCTACCTGAGAAGGCCACTGTCAAGAGCAAACACTGGAAATTCATGTCAAGTCATTGGAAAAGTAACACAGAGCTCTGGTACAACTATCTGCTCCTGAGAAATGAAATTAGCTATGGAAGTTAAATTCTGGGACTATACAAGAAGGGATGGATGCAGAATAATCAACCCAGATCATTAAAACATTATTTATTTATTTATTTTTATTTTATGTGCATTGGTAATTGTCTGCAAGTACATCCGTGTGAAGGTGTTGAATCCCCTGGAACAAGAATTAGAGACAGTTGTGAGCTGCTGTGTGGGTGCTGGGAATTGAACCCGGGTCTTTCAGAAGAGCAGCCTAGTGCTCTTAGCTGATGTGCCATCTCTCCAGCCCTTAAAACATTCCTTGTGCTGATACAAACACCAACCCCATGCTTGTGTCCAAATTTGTGTCTGTTTCTTATTGTGCCACATACATCAGTGACATCAGAAAACCAATATAATCAGCATGATTTCAGTGTAGAGCGATTTGGGTATAAAGTCATCATAGCCCTAAATGGAGTCTGTCTTCTTGTGGTTGGCATCAGTCTTCAGCTGAGCACGGGAGAATGGCACCTTTGAGTTCTACAAACAGCAGAGACTTTTGCCCTCTAGAAAAGTTTTTGTTGTTGTTTTTTTGTGTCTTTGGAAATGCATGACATTAAGATTATTGTAATTTATTTATGTATTTGTTTGTTTGTCTGTTTATTTTGTATCTAAAGTGTTAGACACCATTCTGGCCAAGAAGCACAGTTTCAACAGGATGCCACTGTCTGTCTTCCCCTATTATCCTTCTCTGGGCACAGCCTTGTATGGCGATGAGAAGCCGCTGGTCAAGCTTCCAGCATCTTTCCAAGAGTCACTGGGCCTTCCTTTGTGGAAGTTCTTTCAAAAAAATAATCATCTGATAAAGGAAATAAATGACAAAATGAGACGCTGTCACTGCGAGCTAACATGGTCTGACATCAACGGCACAGTGACCGTCAGACCTGCTGCCACCTTAGTCAGTCACAGACCAAGCATCAAGACCTGGCAGAGAGACGCCTCCGAGGTGCTGTGTGGCATCAAGACTAAGTATGAAGTTAAGGTGTTTGAAGTGTATCCACCAGTGTGGGACATCATACTGCATGAATTAGGAGATGACAGGGTTCTCATTGAGTTTGATAAGGAGAGTCTCACCTTAGCCGGAAAATCAGAAGATGTCCAAGACATCGGCCAGAAAATCAAGGAATTAATAGACAGCACCACAGAAAAGGTCCGAAAGGAGGAGCAGAGTCTGAAGGAGAACGTGGCCATTTCTCCAGGGAAACACTTTCTTTTGCAACACAGTGGTTTTCTGGATGATCTAAGGAAAGAGAACCCAGAGGTGGAGATTCATTACGATGCTGCCACTCAGCACCTGTGCTTTAAGGGATTTTATACAGATGTGTCTAAAGTAAATTGTGACATCCATGCAAAAATGTATTTCATGGCTCAGAAAGATGTCCCAATTCCTTCTGAAGTCTTCATGTTTCTGCAGCAAGTAGACAGTCAGGAATTCTCCAAGACTCTTTTTGAAGCACAAGAAAATTTTGCCACTTATAAGCTGAACAGTACAAGTCTTCTCTTGACGGCCTGTTCTTTCAGAGCCCTGGCAGAAGCAGAGAAGAAAATGCTTGATGCCTTGAGTTATAAAATCATTGAAGTTGAAGACAAGGAAATTTTTAGAGGCAATGCATGGAAAAAGAAAATTCACCCTTTGCAAAAAAGACACTCCTCCACTGCAAGCATCATGATAAAGAATGAATTAACTTCAGGAACTCCGGCGGAGGTCATCATTGCAGGCTGTGTGAAAGAAGTAAATGAAATCCACGGCCAACTTTTTGAATTCTTAGAGAACACCATGAAAATTGAAAGACTGGTTGAAATTGAACCAGTCTTGATTATGGAGTATTTACGGTCAGACAGGAAGCTATTCTGGCCAAAGATAAAAAAGGCCAATGTGCAGGCACGTTTTAAGCTGGAAGACAAACCAAAAGGCATTTTACTGACAGGATCCAAGAGTAAAGTTCTAGTGTGCATGAACATGGTCAAGGAAATCCTGGATTCAGTCTGCATTAAAATGTTCCAGATTGATAAGCCTGGTGCTAGGCACTTCTTCCAGGACAAAGCATCCTATTACAAAAGTGAGATCAAACGCCTGTATGGATGCATCATTGAGCTCCAGGAGGGAGCAGAGAAGGACAAAGGCAGCCTTAAAGAGCAGAAGTGCCTCTTACAGAAGGACATAGCCCCTGGAGTCACGCTGATTGTACAGCAGGGAGACTGGGCTCGGTTTCCTGCTGATGTGGTCGTGAATGCGGCAAACGAGCATCTGAAACACACTGATGGTCTGGCCCTCGCTCTTTCAAATGCAGCTGGTCCTGAACTTCAAGCAGAATGTGACAAAATAGTGAGAAATGGTGGCGTGGTCCTAACTGGCAATGCCGTTATCTCAAAACCAGGCAAGCTCCCTTGCCATCATGTCATCCACGCAGTAGGGCCTCGATGGGACGGAAATAAGGCCCAGGAGTGCGTGAGCCTGTTGAAGAGAGCTGTGGAACGAAGTCTCACCTTAGCTGAGGAGGTCAAGTGTCAATCCATAGCCATGCCAGCTATCAGCTCTGGAATCTTTGGCTTTCCCTTAGACAAGTGTGTGGCCACCATTGTTTCAACCATCAAAGACAACTTCCAACACCAACCAGACAGGCGCACCTTGAAAAAGATTTATCTGGTGGACATATCTGCAAAGGTTGCAGCGGCCTTTGCTGAAGCTGTAGAAACTACATATAAAGCCTCCCTCTCCCCAACAGCTTCCCAGTCCAGTTTATCAGCGTTAGAATTAGTGCCACCTGAGGAAACGCCACAGAAACAACAGACACAGGACTATGTGCTGGTGTCCCCAGAAGGCCTGAAAATCCAGCTGGTGGAAGAAGGTGTACTGAATGCCAAGGTGAGTGTCCCTCTCACCAATAATGTGCAATGATGTCACTGGCCTCTACTGTCTTTATTGAGGCTCAAGGGAAGACAGGGTGGAGAGAAAGGACTGAAGAAAATTCCCTGCTCTCCTACTCAGATCTTCAAACATTTTCCATGGACGCTGGACTTCTTCCCAAATCACTTAGGAGTAGAGATTGGTGTGTCTGTAAGGATCTAAAGGGCTCTGGGATAGGTCACTCCTTCCCGGTAACTGTGGTCCATAGCAGCAGACACTGCACGGCTCTCCTCATCTTCATCATTTCCCATCTGTCGTGTCTGCTCCATCTAGTGCTGGCTTCTGTCAGTTACAGGTGTGGGAGAGCATGGGGAATGCAGAGGATAGGATTTAACCAATGACATGAGGAAGGGTGACCTTGGGTGCTGGAGTGGACTAGGGAGCTCAGTTCCTGGATCCCATATGTGGGTCCTTTGTGAGGAAGAAGTGGGCAGGTGGGAGGGAGGGAGGTCTAGATGTTGGGAATTGTGTAAGGACAATTATCGTTTTGTGGATTTGTTGCAGGAAACTAATGTTCCAGTAATCCTCCTATCTCAGTCCTACAAACACACACAGACACACACACACACACACACACACACTGGTGATAGAGGCATGACCAGCCACTTCTTTTTGTCTTTCTCTGTCTCATCCTCAGCCCCAGATTGTGTGTGTTGGGCATGGTGGCACGTGCCTTTAATTATAGTACTTGTGAGACAGAGGCAGGCAAATCTCTGTGAGTTCAAGGCAAGCCTGGTCTACATAGAGACCTGTTGTCCCTCCCTTTGCCCTGAAAATATTTAATACCCTTTCAACACAGGCTATACTCATTGGAACCATAGCTATCTGAAGCAGGGCAGGCTGGTACCTTCTTCCTGGCCAGTAGCTGCATGTCGCTCTGCATGGTTGTAGCTGTGTCCTCCAGTGAATGTCTACCCCACCCTTCTGTTTGCTTCAGGAGGGTTGGGGCTGAGAGTTGGGAATCTGCCCTTTCTGTCACTTAGATAGGTCTGAGCATTTTGAGTTAAGACATTTGCTTGGTTGAGACTCAGTAGAAAGAGCATTTTCCTATCAGGCATGAAGTCCTGGGTTCCCTTAGCACTGCAGAAACATGGTGTGGAGGGACTTGTCTGTATAAGAAGCATTAAGGAGATGGAGGGAGGAAAATCAGAAATTCAAATTCAAGGTCATCCTTGGCTACAAAGTGAATTTGAGGCAAGCCTGAACTCTATAAGACCTTGTTTTTTTTTTTTTTAAAAAAAGATCATGGTGGGGAAGAGACAGAAATCTTTAATAAATAAATAAATAAATTAAAAAAAAGAAAAAAAGAAAACAACCAAACAATTTAGAGATTGTTTATGTGAACACTCTCTACTTTAAAATTCCTAAGTTTATTTGGTTAGATATGGTTTAAAATCTGTTAAAATTAAAACAAAGCTAGCTAAAATTTAAAGCTAGTGACACTGGAAATTGGTGATTTAAAATCTGTACATGGGTAATTGTAAAGGAAACATAGGACATGATTCCAGTTTGGATTGCCACCATTCTTTACTCAGGTGGTTGCCATTCTGCTGGAGTTAAAGAAAAGATGGCTGTCACAGGATTTCTCCATCATCTTGATTAGAGACAACCACGTGAGATGAGCCTGACCAGGAGACAACAGATCTCCAAGGTAGATTTTCATATGATAATTCATGTCCTGTCCTAAACACAGGGTTTATAAAAAATAAGAATTAAAATATTAAATCTACACCTCAATGCTTTTGTACACAGAAATATACCTTGCTCTGGCAGCTAAACTTTGTAGTTTAAC